AACTTCCAAAAGTGGATTGGAGCCCACAAAATTTACAAATCAACTTGTGGTTTACAACGTGAGGTTTCAAGCACACCCCCGAGCTGTGATGTCAGCATCAATTGTCTAAGTAAGCAGTTGGGTATTACAAACTCGGTCTGCTCTAACCCCGATTGTGAAGTGGGAGCACATGAACATTAACTCAGGCGCAAAAGCTTTGTCAAAAGTCGAGCTGAAACTGCTGGCCTTATTACACATGTTCTTCGGGCTTCCATCGGTCTACTTGACGTGTGATTGGACGGCAACAATCAACAGATAGCACATATACTAGGATGATGTAATACACAGCTGTGTATTGCAGCTCCAACTGCAGCCTCATGCACACGTGCTTACAAGCAACCAAATATTCAATATTTGATTTCAAACACATTATCTGCCCCGCACTACTTCGTCCGTCAAAACTGCCGGGTAGATGTCAATGCCTGGCTGGATTTCTCCTACAACACACTTATAGCTCCACGTCTTACACGCAGCTGCAAGTCCGAATCTAGACAGCCATGCAGTACCTCCAATGCAAGACTCCAACAATGACTTGTGGCTACGGTGTGGGCGTTTCTCTATCTTCTTTCTTCTTGTGCTTCACCGCGATATGTTCCAATTCTCGCACCATTGTCAGATATGCCATCCGGCTTGTGGCCACTGATATATGTGCATCCTTGACGATTGCGGTCGAGCAAGACTGGATGTCCTTTTCCCATGCTCATGTCTCCTGCTATCATCTCCGTCGACTGCGGTCTCCGCTGGCTTGTTGCGCTGCTTGCTGAGCAGCTTCGTGTCCCAACTCCTTCCGCAACCCCCCGAGCTTAGCCTCGACTTCTTCCTTCTTCTTTGCTTCTTTTTCCAGTTGCTTTTCCACCTCTGCTATCTTCGCCTTGAGGTCATTCAGCAGGGCCTGTTCTTGTTCCTGACTAAAAGGCACGTCGTCTGCACCCTTCTCTGGTAGTTGTGCGCTCCTCTCTCCATTCGGTAGCCCACGCTTTAGTCTTCCATTAGCGCCAAGGGATGCTTTCTTAGAGCCGCCCTTGCCAGGTGGTATGAGGTAGTTCCACTGGTCATCTGAGGTGAGGGCATCAAAGAGCGCTTCGGTGGGCTCGTTGAACTGCACAACTTCGAGGAATTCTGAACGCACGCAGCCTGTCCGTTCCTGCTCTGCTTGCATCTTCTCATCGCCATACTTCTCCAGCTGCAAAAAGTGTTGTCTGTATTGTGCCTTCTCTCCTGATATGGGCTGGAAGTGCAACCTTATGTCGATGTTGAAGCCTCCCCATCCTGTCTCGGTTACCTCGAACGGTGGTTTTTCGACCATGCGCAGTGGGTTTTCGTACGTGTTGAAGATCTTGAACGAAACCTTGTTGAGCCACGCTCGTATATCGGGGTCGCCATCGGGAACTCGTACATAGACGGTCCAGCGCTTCGTGTGGTCGTCGGGGACATTCTTGGGACGATCGGGGTGTCCTACCGGGGGCAATTGCCAGGCTTCTGAGCCGATTACTGAGAGTGTAAGTGTACGATTCTATGTTCGGGTTGGTCCGTAGCTTACTGAGATTTCTACTTATCCGTTTGTTCTGTTCGGGGTCATTATATAGCTTTTGGAGCAACGCGCAAGTTGCTTACCTTGACGCGCTTGTTCGACGCGGGAGCGGGCATTTGTTGCGCTGCGCGGCCTAATGCGCGCAGTTGGGAACGTCTGCGGAGTGTCTCCGCAGTCCAATATTATTATCGTAGAGGGAATGCGACAACAAGGCAGCGAGCGATTTAAGTTGTTGAGTAGATGGTGTGCAGGTGTGTAAATAAAGATCGAGCTGCAGGTACGTAGGATGGACGCTGCGAGAACCGGGCCAGCCCTATGCACGAGCCAGGATCATCGCGCCAGCTCCACACGGAGTGGTAAAATCATCAACAATTATTGAATAGATAAAGGACAGTGCTAAAAGTTCTTGCTCGCTGAGTTGATGTTCATAAAACTAAATATTTTAATTGTGAAATATATGATCCTACCTAAGCAGTACAAGGAGTAGCTTAATTACTCAAGATGGAATTTTCTGTGTCATACCTAGTGAGCGCAACCAATGTGATCTCCACAACAAAGACAACATTTCGCCCCAATGTATCGCTAACGTGATAGTTGACGTGAACGAATCTCAAGGCAAGATTTCAGTGGAGACTGAGTGCTCCATGGTTGGAAAATGGGCTGAAAGGCCAACAACACCTATGTGGCTATGTAGGCATGCCATACCAGTAAGTAGCAGCTTGTGATGTCATTGATGCTGCGGTCATCATGTCAAACGGGAGTTCTCACGCCTCCTGCAGCGTAGAAGACACTTTCCCAATCATCTGTCTGCCTTGGTAGATTCTAGGCGGATAACCTACTCAGGATCACCCTTGCCATACTGATCGAGAATCACAATATCAAAATGCTAGGAGATGTCACGGGAATAGAGGCGAGATACAAAGTGGTTGAATTTGGAAATATTGTGATAGAGCTACGAGACAAACCACTTATGATTAGGAGGAGACGAAAGGAGACCTGGAAGAAAAAAATGTGTTCTTGGTAAATGACCCTAGGATGACTAGGTACACTATTGACCCTTCTCCGTTTAAGCATTTTACAGGTAAATTGATTGTTAGATAGGCAATCGCTGGCGAATTCCCGCTGCAGTATAGTTTTAGTGTGTATCACGTGACCAGCCATTAGTACAGTTAAAACAACTGAGATGTCATGCCTCGCAATCTACAGGAAAGAGGAATTAAAAGCACAAGTAATCTGGAAGAAGAAAGTCGTACATCCTCACACAAAACAACGGGTCTCTCGGACGCAGCGGTGATCTCACTTCCCACCTTCACCTCCCTTTGTATCTCCCGTCCTCTGATTATACAATTTGTCCTGTTTTCCAGCATTTGGCTTTCCTTCAATTCTATCCAGCGAATCCTCAATCAGTCCAACATGCCCACGTATCGTCCCCTCAATCTCGTCAAGCCTTGCTTCCTGCTCTTCCTCCATTCGGTCTAATTTCTTTTCAACTCTAGATCCTAGGGCACTCTTTTAGTATCTGAACAGCAGGTCTAAGGTTTATGCACGCAATGCTGTGTTACCTAGCAGTGTCGCGACGCCAGCTACCACCGCGAGGTTAGTACTGACGAGGACGAGATCGTTTTTGAACAAGTTGCGTAATGCCATCATTCTTTCGTTACAAGTGGAAACAGAGCAGTGGATGTGATGTAGTAAATGAAACGCAAAGAAGCCATTTAGAATCTTAAATGCGCTGGAAGCTGTCGAAGAGGGTGCTTTTGGCACTAGTATCACAAGATCATGACGACACGAATTGTGGTACGTGAAAGACCATGATAAAACGCGGTGGTCATTATGTCCATCGAAAATTAAACACCTTACTCAACAAGTCTCTATTAATAAGAAATTGTTTTAGTTTTTAAGTATGTAAAGCAATACCAACGTAGACCTGCAGGTCGCGGAGGTCCCCAGCACCTCCGCACACCCCTGCTCAGCCCTACGCGACTCACGCGAACCCGAGTGACATCAGCACTAGAAGCTTCCGATCACGCATCTCCACCACAAACACCAACGCTTCCAGACCTTCAGACTTCCACAATACGAAGCTACTCTTCACCAACCGCCAATTGTATACAGTTCATAACCCTGCGTAATTCGGCGTGAAGTACAATTGCACCAATGGCTTCCACAGCAGCAGCAAAAAGAAAGCTCGTCGTATGTGGTGGTAACGGATTCTTAGGTGCGCAATTGACCAGCAATCCCCAATTATTTACTTCCCACAAAGTATACAGCAAAATCTTCCAATGACAAACTAACACATCGATACAGGAAGTCGAATATGCAAAGCCGCCGCCCACAGAGGCTGGTCCGTAACCTCGATATCGTAACCACCCCCTCTCCCCCAAATCCACATTCCCCCTTCCACATATCCCTAACCCTCCCCAGCCGCTCCGGCATCCCCCACTGGTCCTCTGTCTCTTCCTCTCCGAACCCCCCGGACTGGGCCGAAAAGATCTCGTGGCAAAAAGGCGACATACTGGACCCAGCATCGTACACGCAGCACCTCGAAGGCGCAGACGCCGTCATACACAGCATGGGCATCCTGCTCGAAGCCGACTACAAAGGTGTCATCAGCGGCCGCGAGAGCCCGATAAAAGGACTGCAACGAGCCTTTAGTCGTACAAAGGCTGGAACACAGAATCCGCTAGCACGAAAACAGGGCGAGAGGTTGGAGCCGCAGGAGAAGGATGGGCAGTTGACATATGAAGTTATGAACAGAGATACAGGTAAGCGAGATTCTGAGGTTCTTTTTTGAAAGTCTACAATGCTTTTATTTTGTGGTATATATGAGAAATCAACTAAGATGACAACAAAAAACAGCTGTCTCCCTAGCTCAAGAAGCATCGACACACAAAGTACCGAATTTCGTTTACATTTCTGCGGCCGCTGGTACACCGATTCTGCCTGCACGCTACATCACTACGAAACGCGAGGCCGAGTCTCTGATTTCCACAACATTCCCCACTATGCGATCGATTTTCATTCGGGCGCCCTTCATGTACGATAGCAGTCGGACTTTTACGCTTCCTATTGCGGCGGCTGGTGGTGTCGCAAGTATGATCAACAGCGCAACCGGAGGTCGATTGACGTGGTTGATGGGTGCAGGGGGTATAAAGCCTTTGAAAGCCGATCTTGTTGGTGAAGCAGTGGTAGAGGCGTTGGAGGATGATGACGTTCGTGGTCCAGTCGAAGTACCGGAGATTGAGAGATTGGGCACGCGCGCGTGGAGGAAGAACATGTTGTAGAGAAGACTTGGCTTCTATGGGAAAATGCGGACATGGTGAACTGTACGACCTCTGAAGCTAGACAGTCTCTTTTTGGTGCGCAACATTCGCAACGTTGAAATGCGCCAAAATATAACGCCATAAGCCCTTTAAAGTGCGACTCAAACTCACTTCTTCCGGCTGCCAGAGCTTACAAGCTTCTTCTTCATATGCTTGGGCATCTTTTCTTTCCGCTTCTCACGCTTCTCTTCTTTAATGGCCTTCTTATGCGCTACCTTCTCATCGTGATCAAGATGCTTCTTGCCACGGCTGGGGCCCTTTTCAAAGATACTTTGATCAACCTCAGACGTGTCTGAGCTTCCATCGTCTGTCTCAGCATCCGTATGCGACCCATCAGATGCGTTATTGACGACCTTATCGGCCAGAAGAGCCTGGTACGGCAGATCGGAGCCAGCGCCGGCGTTGACCAGCTCAGCATCACGCTCAATGTCGTAGACCTGGTCGAGGGTCTGTGGGATGTACTGGTTGCGGAAAACCTCATCATCCTCGTCTTCCTTTTTCTTTTCTTCCTCAGTCAAAGGTCGTGTGTTGAGCAGTTCGCGGATTGTGTCTTCAATCTTTGATACCTCCTTCATATCCTTTGCGCCCGATGCACCGGTAACAAATGCGTATGCTTTGCGCTCACTGAGAGTCTCGACGTTGCGTGACCGGAAGAAATCAGACAAGTTCTTCAGGTCCATGCGTAGAAACTCGAGGGAGCGTGGGTGATCGTGCTCAACGGCTTGCGACACGTCAATCATCCACTGCTTGCCCTCGTGGTACAGGATATTGTACTCGCTCAGATCGGCGTGAACAAGGCGACATGTCTGGTAGAGTATACGGACATAGGCCATCATTTGGACATACAAGCTGGTCCACTTCGCATCTTCCTCCTCGGCGGTCAAGCCCTCGAAGCGTACGTCTTTTAGTCGTGGTGCGGCCTTGCCCTTTCGGTCACCTACGAAGCCCATGACCAGAACGTGGTTCCGTAGCGCATATGCCTCGGGTGAGGGAATACCCGCATCATGTATTCTGGCCAAATTTCTGCGCTCCTTGTCTGCCCACATTCTCACCATGGCGCGGTTGTTGCTCTTATTGTATCCTTGTCTGAACCTAAACTCACCCTCGACATACTTTGCGCGATCCTTGAAGACAAGAATGGAGGTCTTATAGACCTTTACAGCGCGATGGACAGGGGGCGCGCCATCCTCCGACGGCTCTGACATGGCATGGTAGACGTTTGCTTCTTTGCCGGTGGAAATGACACCGTGAAGTTCGGAAATGACGCCGCGGTTGATCAGTTGCAACAGGATCATTTGCGTCCTTCGATCCAACACCTGCTCAGTCGTGGCGCGATCTGCCTTATCCTTGTCCCTTGCATTGCCACCAGATGCTCCCGTCATTCGCCCAGTAAGCCGGATTTTGCTTGCATGCTTCGCGAGTGAGGCAACCTGATCATCGATGGAAGCGTTTGTATTTGCTGACGGCTTTTGAGGGTTCGTCTTGGGTTTGTGGTCGTCTGGTATGTTGGCATCATTCAGTTTTCGCTGGCGATTGTAGGCCTTTGTAAAGTCGCCATGGTCGCCTGAAATTAATTCTGGCACAATCTCATCGTCATCGTCGAACAAGTCGTCAATATCGTCGTCTTCGTTTTGCTCGTCTGCATGGTGCTCTTCTACGTTCTGAACTGGTTGCGCTTGCTGTTCTGGCAGCTCGACTCCGTTTGTGGCGGCCATGGCTGAAAATTGCACAAAAGTGTGTGTGAGAGTGTACAGAAATTAATATTCGCCGCCCTGCGTCACTAGCAATAATTGTTGTCGGCAGAATAGCGGGGTGGCCGCGGGGCTAAAGCGGTCAGCGCCACAATCAATCCAGTACTTTCGTTCGCACAGCATTGCCACATGACTGCATCACTATGCGAAACAAGAAGCCTTGTGGGGTTCTCAAGGCTCCGACTAGGCATGTGCTATTGTTAGTTGTAGAGAGTTAGGTAAACATCGAATCGTGTGCTGTCAGTCTATCGGCAGATGAAACCAAGTATGTCATCCGCAGTGCGACGAGTGGCGACGCTATCTGCAACACTGATGCTAACTACATGATATGGAACAAAAGCGCAAAGAAAAATCACAGAAACATACTATAACGAAGGTTTCCTAAAAGTTACCCGCCAAACTGGATATGCTAATTTCCCGGGTTCATGGTTGTTTGTACTACGTATGTATATACTTAGAGTTTCCAAGTACAAGCTATATCGTCAGTAAGAAGAGAGGCTTGTGGCTACATGCACGACCAATAGAATTCCGGATCTAGAGGCCGAGGCAAGTAACAAAAGGCAGAGGCAAATATACTACTCTATCTCGCGTACGTACAAAGCCGTGAGAGAAGGGCCTAATCATGCACATTGGGTAATGATTGGGTAATAACAGTTCGATACGGATAGACAAAGTACGTGGCACCCAAGCATCTATTATTGTAGAAATTCTCTTGCAAAACAAGGCCTCCTGGGATCGGATTATGCGTAGTCTAATTTAATCTCACAACGGCTGCGCGATGCTGCAAGTAAGCCTGGGCAAATATAGCGTTTAAAGCCGTTTGATGCTCCATGTGGTAATGCCCTAGCTTCATACGGTCACACGTGTACTTGCGCAACTCAGGTATGTCGAGCACACCACACCTGCCTCACCACAGTAAGATGACAGGTCCAAACAACCTTTGCGAACCACTGGCCTCGCCACAGAAACAAGCTTGCACACGTACTCTATACCGGTCTAAAGTGTCCAGGGATGCTGGCATACATAGCCGCTCAACACCATCAGCAGATTGACATAGCCACACATCTTGGCAACGGCGGGCGGCTCTTTTGGCAACGCAACAGCCAACACCCAAGCGCTAGGGCTGCCTATCCGAAAATCTTCCCTTACAAACAAAGAAGCGATCTTCAGGGCAGCTGATCACTGCGTCACCCATTCAGAGGGGTAGGGAGGTATGATCTCATAACCAAGATGATCGCGCACGAAGGGAAGAGCGGATGCGCGTCGTTTAGCATGAGACTCCGAGGAGCAAATGTGGCGCAGTTTGTGTCTGTTGTGCACACGGTCAGACGAGATGCATCCACGGCGCAGCATTATACTACGTGCATCCAGATGCACATTCTCGAAGGAAGGAAGGAAAATCCGGTTCAGCTTCCGTGGCCCCTCGCCTCCCAATCTCCACCGCACCGCCGCATCGCTTGCCACGCCGTCGGTCGCACGCGTATAGTTGTGCCAGAGGACAAAAGACTGGTAGCGGAAAGGAGTAAGGTGGCATAGAGGCAGAAACATTAGCCAGGTACATCTGAAGTCCGATAGGCTGAGCCGGAGATGCCGCTACGACTGCGGCGGGTGGTTGGCACTTCTGACACAGCCTAGTATCCACCCCACGGCTCGTGAAACACATCAGGAGTGCGGCTCAGGGTCACGCCTGGCCACTCAGATCTACACAGCGATGAATCGGGAGACTGCATGAATGGGTGCCAGTGGCTGCATGGCCTGACTGGCTGACGACTAATGCCTGGGCAAGGGGATTGCGTCGTGTACAATCTCGCGACTTTTATGGTCGGATCTTCCTCCATGCTGTTTGTCTTTCTTACAATTCTCTTCCCTTGTCTTTTCTTCGTGCGCCATTCTTCGACCTGTTTTTTTTGGTCATTCACACATTCTCTTCAACCGCTTTCCTTTGGACGCAGGGCGACCTTGCTCAAACTCTCCTTTCTTGCCTTTCAAGTGATTCTTCTGTGAAGATCACGTTCGCTGCGAAACCCCAACGCCTTACATTCTTTACCGAAAACCCTATATTCCGAATCTCTATTTATATCAGAAATGCGCTTCTCAACTTACTCCACCGCGAGCGTGTTGGCCGCTTTGGCCTCTGCTCAAACCTTCACGGACTGCAACCCTATGGAAAAGACTTGCCCCAACGACCCTGCCATGCCTCAGACCTGGGAGACCGACTTCACTGCTGGCAAGGATGCTATCAAGGGCTGGAAGCAGACTGCAGGTGACCTCACCTATGGGCCTGAGGGAGCCGAGTTTACCGTGGCCAAGAAGGGCGATGCGCCCACTATTGGCTCTGAAGGATATCTACATTTCGGTTACGTCGAGGTTGTCATGAAGGCCGCTCCTGGCACCGGCATCGTTTCATCTATCGTTCTCCAGTCCGACGACTTGGATGAGGTCGACTGGGAATGGATTGGAGGCGTCGACAGCCGTGTGCAGATGAACTACTTTGGCAAGGTAAATTTATCCCAACGAAATGCAACTGAAACTATGCATGTTGCAGAAAAAGAAAAAGAAAAAGAAAAAACTAACAAAACCACCAGGGTAACACAACGACCTACGACCGCATGATCGAAGCCGATGTGGCCAACAACCAGAAAGAGTTCCACAAATACGCTCTAAACTGGACCTCATCAGCCCTAACCTGGATCATCGACGACAAGCCCATCCGCACCCTCAACTTCGCCGACGCAAACGGCGGCAAGAACTTCCCCCAAACCCCCTGCAACGTCCGCCTCGGCAACTGGCCCGGCGGCGACTCCAAAGATGAAGGAACCCGCCAATGGGCCGGCGGCAACGTCACCTACGAGAACGCCCCCTTCACCATGACGGTCAAGAGCGTTAAAGTTATCAACTACTCTCCCGGCAAAGAGTACGAATGGACCGATAAAACCGGTAGCTTCCAATCCATCAAGGTCCTCGACGCCGGCAACAAAGACGGCGCCCCCATCAACGCCACCCCCATCACCAAGCCCGTAAACGGCACTCAGCCCCCCCTTGAAGCCGGCGTCGACGCCCCCGCTGCGAGCGGCGAGGCAGGCTCAGGCAGCGGCGCAGACAAAGAAGAGCCATGCGACTGCGGAACTGCATACGTAACCGTCACCGCACCTCCTCCTGGTGCCTCTGCCCCTCCTGCTACCACCGCGCCCCCAGCCACCATCACCTCGACCTTCGACGCCGTACCCATCGAGAGCGCAAAGAGCATGTTGTCCTCTGTCCTTCGCGCTTCTTCATCTGCTCGCCTCGCGATTGATACTAGGTCTGCGCCTGGTGTACCCATGCCTACAGCCCCCACTGGTGCGATCCCGCTGCCTCAGACTAATGGCACTGGAACGGCGGTTGCGCCCCCGCAGTTTACGGGTTCGGCGAATAAGATTGCTGCTGGGGGTTTGGTTGGTGCGATTGTCGGAGCTGTGGTGATGGTGTTGTAAATTTTCAAGGGATGAGACCAGGAGGGGGGTTACATGTGAGATATGGTTGATGTAGAACAAGTTTTTTTGGATATATATAGAAAGAGAGAAGAACTTACGCTCGTTTTTTTTACCTTATTTTGTAAATACTTAATTTCGATGAACGGCCCTTTTTAAGGACTGGCTTTTTGCACGAAGGCTTTGATTGATTCTTTTCTACTTGTTCTTTTCTTTTTGAAGCGTCTTTTGGGGAGTTGAGATGTGGGGTGCATGATGCGTCTTCTGACTGCTGTGTAGTGAGTCTACGAATGAACAAGTGTATAGCACCCCTGAATTGCCATGGATTGAGTTGGGGGAGAAACCAACAAGTTGCATCCCCCCACGGTTTGTTTGATGTTTCGATGTTCGTTTCGAAGTGTTCTTTTCGTGTGTGTATCTTACTGACTCAACTTTGTTTTTTTCTTTCTTCTTTCCATCTTGATTCGTGCAATGTGTCTGAGCGGGATAAGTTGGTGTTGCAGTGAAGTTTGGGCAATAGAGTGGCAACGCGATCGGGTTGGGAGGGGATCATTATATCATCGGTTAGAGACAAAATTTGCAGTACTCTTTTGAAATTTTGGTGGGGTTTGATATGGCGTGGTGGGGTATGGGATGAGATGAGAGAATGTACCGGAGTAAAAAAGGATTCTGCAACGACGTTGGTCTCGGTTTCTTCGCATGATTTTGTATTGCTATGTGCCCTGGCTGACCTGGGTGCTTGTGTTTTGTTTGTCAAACTTGAAGATTTAGTAGCCGTTCGTTCTGAGATGGGAAGCTGGCTTTCCTTGTTTCGCAGGTGTTTGTCTTTCTTTCTTGGTCATCGAAGTGTTATAGATTTTTTTCTTCTTAGTAAAGGAACTGTACATGGAGGTTTGTTTTGGTGAATATATTATCTATCTGGCAGTGCATACTGGATTTGGTTGTGTATTATACCAAGAAAGTTTCTTTTCTTGATCTTCCAGCTCGTTGTAGCAGGCCCGTTCTGAATTTGGCGGTACATTGCATATAGAGGAAGATCGCTGTTGTCGATTATCCGGGGCCGCACTAGAAGGTAGGTATCTGTAAAATTAGGAATGCTTTGCTGGAAGTCGAGATCAAGTATTGACAGAGAAGTGTGTTCGATTTTAGTAATACAAGCGTACATGGAGGCCCAGGACTCCGTGCATCGATATTGAAGGTTTATCATGCGTTCGTGTATGTATCACAACCCTGTATGCGCTTTATACATGGTAGAGTCGATGAGACGTTTGCCTAAGTCATTCTAAAGGGCATCAACTTTACTTCCTTTACTAGAGATCAAACATGCGCCACGAGAATGTAAAGCAGCTGTGCAGGCGAGAGATGTTGCAGCAATCAGAAATCTATGTCACAAAAGCTCTAACGTCCGTCCCTACGTGCCCTCACGCACGGTGTAGCGGGACACTGTCTCTTCCGGACTATCTGCAACATACTTATATATAGATAAGCACAGTGCGCATCTACTCTGTAGCTCTTACTCTCTTAGCTTGTTAGCCTCTAATGCTACAAAGCGTATCGTTGGCCGTACTATCGCTCGCGCTATTAATGTGAGACGTTAAAAGGAGATCAGGCACGGGTAGAGTATAACAACAGCAATGAGAGCTTAACTATCTGTATTTAACATAGACGAACAGCTACTAAACTAAGGTAGTGTTTACAGTGCTTTTACATTTCTATAGTAATAAGTTATACATAATCAAGAAGGGCTAGAAAGGCCGATCACCAAATATTACAAGGCATGTAAAGCAAAGAGTGCATGCTTAGGACGAGCGGAGAACTAAGGAGCGCTTTGTATTTGATATTGCAGGTGGTGGTAAGGCTGAGAGGGCGTCGCGCGTCACACAAGTTACAAAATACGCGTGCCAGATGGATGTGATTGGATGCAGTGCAGAACTCGCATTATTGTTCTTGGCTCGGCGGGTGGGGGTACTACTAGCGAGCGCAGTGCGCTTCTCATTGGTCAGCGCGCAATACTACTATCAGCTATACACTGGACTTTGGCAAGCCAGCAAATCAGAAACATACGGCTGCAACGGCCCGTCGACTAGCCTATACCTAGATGCTGGGGTAACATGTTTACTCGGTATTGCAAACAAGCCTCGTTCAACTTGATGTAAGTGCAAGAATGCCTTCTTATTCAGCAATCTCGATTATCTTTCAAGACCAAGACCAACTTCAAATTCAAAAGACAGCCTTCCAACGTACGGACGCGTTTCTACTTCTCTCGTATTCCTGCTGCCAGACGTGGGCCATTAGAGATTCTTCCTATCCCTCTTACTCTGATCAAGACTGTACCATTCCACCTCACGGAAGCAACGGACGGGCCTCACCGAACAGGATTATGCCACGTGAGTTCCAAGTAGACATCTAGCCACGGACGATACTGATGTAAGTCCCCCGTCTCTGAGACCCATTGGCCTTGACCAGTTTACCCTGCATGGAGAGGATCCTGACTTAGTTGATGACAACACTACAGACGGTTCGTCAAATACCTGTTTCATTCTCTTTATTATTTAGCTGATGCAAACCTAGAAAATCAATGGAACGGCCTCTACATTGCGCATGCAATAGAAGAAGGGCGGGCTTGCGCGAGTATAACCCTTGGGCTGGACCTAACATGTACCTCAACGAACAGCTGTGACCAGCACTCAACGACTGCAATATATATTCTTCTGCTCTCCATCAGCTGACATGTCCCCACACTGCACGTGTGATAACCGACCCCCCTAGCATCTCTGTAAGCAGGAACCAGCGGTCACGAAATCGGCACTCAACCAAGTAGGTGTTTTTAGAAACCAAAGAACAATACCCCTAATCCACAGCTGACATGGCATGCAGCCAACTCTTCTCAGTCCACCTTACTCCAGTAGTATTCCAACCTGATCATGTCACAATGTAAGGCATGCTACTTCCTGACATCGCAGTCTATCCAGGCAATGCAGCATACGCAGAGCAAGACGACGGCCAGGTCCGCAATACTAAAGCCATGGGCATCAAGGTGAAACATTTCGTTCCAAGAATCGGCTCCGCGCTGAGCAATGGCAAGTTGTGTTTGATGCTCAAGGGTGCGGAAGCCAGACCTTTGCTCGCAAGGCTGAGCTTAGTCGGCATTACTGTGGTACATGGTAGAAGTTTAGTTCGTAAGCACTATGTAGCAAGGTGATGATACGGGCCGGGGTAGAAGAAAGAGCTATACTATAGAGAGAAGAAGCTATACCGTAAACGTCGTATTTTTGTGTATTGAATAATCCGAAGAAGGTCCTGATCTCCATTTTAGCGTCTCCATCGTACAAAACTTATGCCCTGTGCCGCATTACACAACTCTGCACTCCGCCAACGAACCGAACTTCTGGTGCTAAGTCCCAACTTGTCGACGTAGCGTAAATGGAGGGGGTAAAGCTTTTCAAAGGAGGGACGAATGGGTAGCTCACGTCCAATATGTGCACTTCGTACACGTTGGCGGCGCGCGCTGATGTCGCTAACTGCCCTCAGCCTGCTCAACCTCTACGACCACCCTTTCTGCTTCTGCAGTAAGCTACTGATCCTGCGAGACCTGGAGGACTCCACCAGAAGCAATATATCGACGCTGTCGGTTCTGCTTTTGTTGTTAGCGCTGACTTCTGCACGTAGCTTCGTATTCTCTTCTACAAGTATTATTGCTGATTACATTGCAATCTAACAGCCTTGGATAACTTGGCGAAGGAGCTGGTTTTGTTAGGCTCTGTGGTCCCCGTTGGAGCCGGTCTGACAAGAGACTGCTCTTCAATAGGTAGTAGCTTTTGGTTGGCAGAGGCTATCTCTGATCGTGGCTGGATACCGTGGAGAAACGTCTGAAGTGTTGACTTTGGTATATTGTACGCTTTCGCGAGACTGTAGATAGATTGTTTTAGGTTATTACGATACGATGCCATAGTAAGACTTATTCTGCCTTCACGAGAAGTCGGTATAAGCGTTGTTGGCGCGGCATATTGGTGGCTGTGTAGAGCGTTGGGTCAAGTTTGGTGGGGTGGCCAGCTTACCGGTCTGGCCAGCTTACTGATCCCCCACGTTACTATACTAGGAAACCTTCGATAACGAGACTAAATTCGATAGAGAACTTCAATCTAGGCTACATAGCAATCTATATTAGGGTAGGCCAGTCGCCTAAGCGACAATCGGGCCGTATAGAAAGGAATCGAAGTGACGGACGAGAGATAAGCAATAGAGAGCTGCAGCCCATTATAGTTATGAATCACTGGTGTAGAGCGTCGAGCAAGGTTGTGGTGCACGCTAATTAAACCTAGCTAGGCATAGCGGTGTACCAAAAGCAGTTAAAAAACGCCACTCCTGGAACCGAGCGACTCCACTCACGGCTCGGGTCGACCGATGACGGCTTCGGGAATACTATGGGGTTTTTTACCATAAGATCACCGGAAAGATCTGTGTGATCTTGCCGTACACCTTAGCTGAACCTCATTAAGTGAATGTGCGTAGCTGCTAGTCTCAATCTATTCAGATCGCCTCCGCCCACGTGGCAATGCAATAGATTGTTTTGCCGCATATTTGCATATTTACGTAGATAAATGGCCCGAGCCTATACAACCTCTAGAAATCAGCTGAGAAAGAAATTGCTCAAGGACTAGTGTAACAAGCCTCCCGGTAAACGTATTAAAGGGTTTGCGACACAAAGAAACAGATCTACAGTCAACGATCATACAAACAATGACCCGGTTCGTAAGTACCGACAGTCAGGTGGTAAATTATCGTGGCACTATTCGGCGTGTGCCGTTAGCCAAATACGCCAGTTACAAACTTTTCCGGGATGCTAACAGGTACGGTTCAAGGCCTGTCTCCAGCGTTATTATCAAAAGTGTTCACCTATCAATGAGTGCCAAATTCTTACTAACGTCAATGTGTACAACACCTCGGCGATCATACAGTTTCAGCATTTCTCTAGCGATGCGCTCTAAACTTGCTGCATCTACGTCATGACCTCGATTGCCGTTAAGGAAAGGGTCAGTGGTCCAGATTGTAATACCTAGACGGTTAAAATAAGCGGCATAACATGGTGGACTAGTGCAGTCACCACCCTAGCTCGGACCGATCTGACATTCTAAACTACTTACAATACGGGCTGCTTACTCTGTATGTGCTACTACCTTTCTCTACAATAGGCTACGGTCCTCATCTCGATTTAGATCAGGCTAGTAAATATTGCTTATGTCAGACCCAACAGAAGCAATATTTGGTGGCCTAAATTACATAGCCCCTCCCCCAACTAGACCTAAACGAGTCCCCAAAGCGTTTCAGAACCAGTGAGGCGAAGATATGTACTCATGTATCGATCGTGCTATAGTTGCCGGGACTTCTGCATAAGCGGAAAATTCCCCATGTAGTTAGACTCGCCTAGACAATTCATGCACGAACCCTCTACCTCAGTAAAGCCGCTAGCCCATCATCGGTCTTTTGATGAGCAAGAATTGATCGAACGACCTTGATACCCCACCTCTTGCTCACCAGGTTGTTGTGATCAAGGTCGAGCTCTTTGCGTAACAGGTTTGACACAAGAAAGTGGCTTGCAATCCCTTGCGTAGCATTTATATATCCAAGAGCTCTACTCATATAATGGGTTTCAAGCAGTAGGCTCGATTTCATTTCAAACTTTCACACTGCCAGCTTCCAACACCAATATGGATATGCTAGACCTACCAGTGTTCCAATATCCTACATTGAGTCACTTGACAGTCAATGCTGCAAGCAGCTTTTCGGTTTTTCTATTGATACTTCTCTGCTACAAAGGCCTCGTAGCTAGACTGCCGGTGGGTTTCTAATCTTCTCTCTCCTTCCTTTCAAATCCCTAAACTTGTCCATCGAAACTAACCTCGTCATATCAGCCTTCACTATGGGGTTTCTTAGAATTCATTTTACGACCTGTCACTAGACGCTATCAGGCATGGGCATACCTAGTTCGGGGCCCTAAAATGATCCAAGAGGCGTTCAACAAGGCAGATGGCAAGCCGTTCGAGCTATTCGCTCCTGACAGTCGATATGTCTATGTATCCGATCCTCAACAGATTCAGGAGATTGATCGTGCTTCTGGTACAATTTTGTCGCTCTACGCAGCGTCGAGACAGGTATGTTAAACCTTTTGCTCTAGGTTTATTCTTATCTATGCTAATAAGACATAGATACTGCAACCTATGTACACCATGTGAGTAATCTTGAAACTCCACCACCCTTTATACTCATCACCGCAAGATCTAACATGATTCTTTTATTGCCCAACTTTATCAAAGGATAAGATATTATCTTATACAATTCACTAACATACGACAGGCACGGCTTTAATCATTTCGACGCGCGCGGAACGGAAGAAGCGGGATTTATCCGCGCTCTTCGCACCTTGTTGATTAATAACCTACCCAAAATCCTGCCTGACCTCAATTACATTATCCGCACTAGGTTCCAGGAGCTACACGCTGAGCATCCAGTCATTAATGGTACTTTTTTGCATTAAATTACTAATCATCTTGGAAGCAGCTAACATTGAGGCGTAGATAAAAAGCAGTCAGCTATTTTGCCTATGATTCTGAAGCTTGTTGTATTAGCCAACGCCCTGGTCTTTTTTGGAAAAGACCTAGGTATGTATTGATACTTGTCTAATACTTTGCCCCCTATAACAATAGCTTATGTTGAGTAGCGAAGGATGAGCAATTTATGGTCCACGCACTGGCATATATCGAGGAAACGATGATATGTGCCGAAGTTCTTCGTCTCGTGCCCAGCTTTCTGAAACCGTAAGTATATCGCATTGGCAATATTCTCTTGCTTAAACTCACTCAATATAGTATCATCGGTAATATCATTGCTCGCAGACTAAAGTCCCACACTGTCATCTATAATATGATGCTGCCCATCGTTCAGGAGCGATGCCTTGAGCGCGACGCAGCCAAGCTAGGTCAAAAGGCCCCAGAATACGTATGTCCTGCTTTAGACAGCTCTGTATTCCTAGAATAACGCAAAGCTAACACAGATATCTAGGTCGACTGCATCCAATGGCTTATGGATACTTCGCCTAAGAACGCACTAAAAACTCCTGAACGCATAGTACACGAACTCATGGCTATCTGGTTCGGCTCTGTTCATCCCGTTGCTGTCACTGTAACAGTTGCTATCGAGGACCTCTGTTTACACCCCGAGTACGTTGAGCCACTCCGCGCGGAATGCACAGCTCAATACGCCGATTTTGAGCGCACTGGAACCGGTCTTCCTCTTCTTGACAGCTTTATCAAGGAATCTGCCCGCATAACACCTGTCGAGTCACGTAAGTCAACAATTCTTACTTTCCATGCTGTATTGCGACAGAATCATTGTGTGACATGCTGACGTGAAGTACGCAACAGAAAGCACTCGCCGCTCAGCGCTGGAGCCTTTTACTCTCAAAGACGGGACTCACGTCGACGTTGGCGATTGGATCTGCACGCCTGCCCACGCTGTTATGATGAACCCGGTTGACTACCCTAAGCCAGATACCTTCAGTGGTTTCCGCTTTGCGAATCCAGAATTAGTAAAGAGCCTTGAGAATGGCGATAGCTTATCCAATATCTTGCAAAAGCAGCCGACTAAATTGACTGATGTGGACATCACGTACCATATCTGGGGCACTGGCAGAACAACTTGGTAAGCTTCTTTGTTACCCTTCCTCGTGTCTCTACGCAACTTTCAAAGATGGGGATTGCTAATACTATATTATAGCCCCGGCCGATTCTATGCCTCGGTACTCATGAAGACTATTCTGGGCCAGATTCTTCTCAACTACAACTTTGAGCTTATGAACCCCAAGGCCAAGCGCGTATTCTCCTGGCGGTCGGCGATCGTGCCAAATCCTAGCACGAAGGTTGTATTTACTCCAATTCGGGGAGATTGTTGAAAGCGATAAAATGCATATACATGGAGTTTGATTAGGAGAATACAACACCAGTTTTCGAAAATCTTAGAAAAAGCTCGAAATCTCGCATTCTGGGGCAATCCGCCTACAGCGAATCTTTTTGCAAACTACTCTCAAGCCACGCAGCCTCCGCGCTGTGTGGAGATACGCGTGGTTGGACACTTTGAGTTGGCTGCGGAAAATTTTCCCCAAGATTAGATTTGTATTTACCAGCGTGAAATACATCACAGTATTGTATTCTTTGAGGCATATATATGTGTGAAAGGGGGGGCTGCGCTTCAACTAAATATATTACTCGATCTATCATCTATCGACGCCGTCATTTCTTACGCGGGCCAAGGCTTTTCCACGCTCGATAAGTACGTTCTAAGCGTTAACTTGTGCGAATCTCTTAGTATAGAAAGCTTCTATATCTCTGAAGTGATAGTTTCAAGCCATAGTTGGTGTGGAAGAAGCGAAAAGTCCTTGCGTAATAAGAGCTATATTCCGCGCCTCCACTAGTTGTAAGCGAGGATAAACGAAGAGATGTTGGAGAAGGTAGAGTTGCAGGTGCTAGAACTGACACTGATATACAGGTGGTCACAGGACCCGCGCCTGGTATAGATGTAAGGATTAACATAGTGACTAAGGTGCTGACTTGCTGTAGAGTCTTGGCTAGTGTTTGGTCCTAGGGTTTATAGTAAGGCTGATAGCGAGGGATACAAGGTGGCATGGGTCGTTCGAAAGTGTCACGTTATACCGTGCGTCCCGGCACGTAGGGATAGACGTCATGGAAGTAGTATGCTGCAAAAGGCTGCCCTTCCGATCTGCTTGATTGAGCATAATATTGCTTGAAGCCAAGTGATATAGTTCTGATTCTTGCGAACCTAGCGCCAAAGTAGTGTTCAATGTGGCATTGACGTTGAAACAGGGTTGGAATTCGCAATGCGATGAACGAATGTACTTGAACCGGATGTTCGGCATAGACCCCGCATTGATTGTGTAATATCGGCTGAGGCCTAGGACATTCGCGCGTATGTAACTGCACAGTGGTCGTCGATTTAGTCTTCACTGACTCCGTCACTTGATTGGATGAAGCACGACTAGCCAAGCAACCCAGGCCGCCAGCGAATAACCAAGCAATGGTTAAGCATAGGTCAAGCCATGCATCTCGGCTCGTAAGAAAACAAAAACTATGTTCATCGGGACGGGCTGCTGAGGCTGTACACCATGCGGATTCCGACCAGTAGCCGCTGCCCACGTGCAACATGGGTCGCATCAGGCGCCCGAGATGCAAAGGGTCCATTCTCCGGCGGCTGGGGGACAAAGTTAAAAAACGTGGGATGATGCTGAGTGGTTGTTGGGGTAAGGAAGAGAAGATGGTGCCATGCAAACACTAATCAATGTGTAGGAGAGTGCATGGGAGGCGAGGAGCTTGTGCAATTGGCCCAGCCTCGTCCCTCGTCGCCAGTCATCAACCACAGCCAGACAGTGCCTCACATGGCAACACATGCGACGCGATCTACATCTTCTACCCGCCAGCCCCAGTTCGCGCCAAAAAGGTGCACGGCTGGCGTCCCAATTTGTGAGCAGTGCCACGCGCTAGGCTCAGGAATTTATCAAAACGTAACGGTTCGGGGGTTTCGCTTCGGACGGGCACGTTTTGAAACGGACGAGCGCCGTCATCTCACCATTGTTTTAGGCATGAGCCAAGAAACATCACACCAACACCATTACACATCTGACACAACTGACAAGCCATGGCAGCCCTCACCATGCCATGTTTGCCTGGCTGCTTTGCAATTGTTGCTGGCTGAGCCGCCAAAGGCGCAGGCCTGCGCGCGCACATCACACTTGCAACCCCACTGGTGGCTCGTCATCTGCCCCAGGATAAGTCAGCATCCTTGCTGATGGTGGCGCTTTTTCTTGCTAATATTAGGCAGTAGTTGATATGTGGCACGCCCAAGGTGTCGAGGGTTTGCAATAGGCCTAAACATGTCCTACCCAAGTCGGGAAAGACGACTCAGCCGCACACGGTGCTTGCTCGGAATGTATAACACAGTGCTGCAACGCCAGATGCCCATTGCTACTACTCCTGCTTCTTCACTCGTGATTGATTGTTCCTGTGGAATTTGACTGAAATGGGCGTTATACAATACCTTCGTCGCACAAGACCCGCGTCACAACCGTCGACCACCACATCGTTGACAGCATGCTGGCCGCTTTTTGCCATCTCTTTCCTACTCTCTGCACTGTCCATTACTAACCTGGGGCTGTTGAGCTCCATGGTTGCATGGCTACTCCGACAAAAACACAACGTGCATACGTATCAAGTCGACTGGCCTGGAAACGAAACAAAATTAAACGTGGAGCCAAAGCATCTATGGGTGGACCATGGCCATGAGAGCAACGGTGCGGCGGCGTATGGATTCTTCGTGGGCCTCTTTGGCATGGTCACTGCATGGAGGATGCGGAATGCTCAACGGGTAGGTTCAATCCATGTGCCTTGTCAAGTGGCATTCAGTATACTGACGATCATGAGCAGCGCCTAAAGAGTCTTACTGCACTCGCCGTCTTGCTCTTTCTCGCGGTTTTGTTCACCCTGTCGTGCTTCATCTTTGCCTTTGTGGTGACGTATCAGACGACAGACCAGTACATCCGCGAGCCTGTCGCCGTTAACACGGTCGGGATGAACTACCCAGAGTTTCGTTGGACACCTGAGACTTGGTTCAAGGCTGTACGGGATCTCCCTCTTGCGGACCAGTCTACGCGCAACGAGATCGAGGACAGGATCAGAACCATGGTGGCATGGCGGTGGATGCTGCTTGTAATATTCCTCGTCGATGTCGCCGCATTTAGCATAACAGCAATGGCTTGGTGGAAGCAGCGGAGGGGTGTGGCAGCGCGGCCAGGGTCTAGAGATTCTACTGAGAAGTAGGAGCGCGTATTTGGAATCAGGTTTTTGAAGGATACCCATGCAGAACGCGGAACGTGGAACGAATATACTACTATGTTGGTCATTCCCCTGGCCATTCTCACATGCAAAACACATACAGTCACCTATCAGAAGTTTGTTCGCGTAAGCACGGGCCCACCCCAACCACAATCGAGCTGCAGAGCTCCATCTTCTTCAACACCACGTAACTACATCAAAATGGCATCTTTTTCTACCAAAATTTCGAGCGATCGAATGCCTAATGGTGA